TTTCCTGTTGCTCATTTGGGGCCATTCTCAACAGGCAGAAATGCCTCACGATAAGACATCAAATACCAGGTGTAGGATGCCAGCAGATGAACACATCTTCATGCAGGTCTTCTAAGCGTATAAAGTCGTCTTCCGCTCAGACCTCTTGTGAGCCATTACTGCGTCCTTCCTCACCAGGGCAGAGGTTCCCCCCCCCCCCCGAATCCGAACTGTCAGGAGATACGCTTCTTGTCTGTTTGTCGTTCCTGCCCATGGTGAATATGTCTTCAAGTACTCTTTGCTCTGAGGCTGTTACATATCTGTTGTTGCAAGTCAATCTAAACTGCCCTTTTCAAAGTTTAAGTTGTCCCTCCCAAGCCAGAAGAAAAGGAAAATGGAAAAACTTTACTGAGCTGTGTTAAGCTGAGGAAAAATATTTTTTTTACTTGCTGACTTGCTATATTTTAGCAAAATAAAAATTGTGCATTATCTAAAATATATATAAATATATATATTTCAAGTGTTTATGAAATCGGTAACTAAGAAATGGAGAAAGTTCCCACACCCCATTTCCATGCATTTCAGTAAAACAAAAATTAAAAGTAGTTGTATCATCATACCATGTTTGCCAGTATTTCAGCCAGCAAAAGCAGGACTAAAACAGCTTTCTCCTTTTATATTGTATGTTTAGAGGAGTGTTTACCGAGTAAAACCAAAAAAAGTTCATCCAAATGATTAAAAATGGCCTTTTTGAGAACAGTATGCATTATGATAAATTTAGTCTTGTTTTGTATAAATAATAGTGTTTAATATGTATTTCCAAAAATAAATGTTTCAAATGGAAATAATCAGATGAGGCTTTTTGGGATGATGGGGAGGTTGGGCTCAAAAAGTATATATGTAAATTTTCTCCCAACACTTCTACATACTGATTAGGATATTACAGCCATGGTATGGTAATAGAATAATAGAGTTGGAAGACCCCTTGGAGGTTTTCTAGTCCAACCACCTGCACAAGTAGAAGACCCTATACCATTCAAGACAAGTGGCTGTCCAGAGAGAGAGAGAGAGAGAGAGCGCTTTATATTTTACACATGGGTACAAAGTATATATTTGAATAAAATAAAGAATTTTGATTCTCAGGAAGATCAGAAGGGGAGAGAGAGAGAGAGAGAAGTCTTTAAAAGAGGACAGTTTATTTATTTATTTATTTATTTTATTTTTTGGATTTATATCCCGCCCTTCT